GTGTGTGTGGGGGGGGGGGCACGTCCCCCAGGCTCCCCCCCGGGGGGGGCGCTACAATAATGTGACACCCCCTATACAGGTCGTGACTCCTACACAGGCGTAAACTATACGGGCACAGCTTTACGTTCACCAAACATTCTACAGCAATGCTACACCCGGTTGAACGTAGGTCCAGCTCCCAGGGGTCGAAGGTCGTGAGAGGGGGTTTAAGCAAAACCCGGGGCTCGTTGTTTGACCTTCCTGTGAGTCTACGTTTGTTACACAACTCTCTGGGGACATACCATATACTTTCTGATGGGAAATGGTTTTACTGCGTGTCGCGACGGGAGAGTAGTCTTTATGTCCCGTGGAATTTTCAGCTACTCCTGTTGAAATGTTTGACTTCTAATTCGCTGGGGGGTGTCCTCCAGAGCAACGATTATCAGCCTCGAATAGAAGCACCCCCCTATTACTTGAAAAGAGTCGCGTTGCTCGGAAGTATTCATTTTGTTGGTAGCAATGCGACTACAACGCTTGTGCAACCTATAGTCGTTCGTGAACCAGCGATGCGTAGTTAGTACCAAAGGAATCTATTGCCAGTGAAATAACATCCTCTCTTGCTCCAGTTCGAGGCCCATATGAAGCAGAATTAAAGTAAAAAAAATCGGAACATGTTTTCCGAGAAATGTAATGCTTTTTCAAACATCGAATTTTTTTAAATGTAATTTTTTTAAAAACAGACCGAATTTTTGAATTCTTTTTCAAAAACCGAATGAAATCTTTCGTACCTAATATATATCTTTTGTGGATGAAATTTTTTCAGACCAAACATGCATTCGAATCTGGAAAACGTTAGGTCTGTCAAATTTCATTCGGATTAAGAAAACATGTTATGTCTAAAAATTTCATTCGAATCTTCAAAGCATGTTAGGTCTGAAAAAATTTACTTGAGTCTTAAAAACATATCAGGTCGAAAAAAATTCTTTGTATCTTAAAAACGTGTCAGGTCTACAAAATTTTATTTGAATCTTAAAACATGTGAGGTCTGTAAAATTTCATCCAAAAAAGATACAGATTTCATTCGTTTTTTGAAAATGAATTCAAAAATTCAAAGAACGGTCTTTTAAAAAAACATTACATTAAAAAAAAATCGTTTTTTAAAAAAGCATTACATTTCTCGGAAAACATGTTCCGATCTTTTTTTACTCTAATTCTGCTTCGTACAGAAGCCCATAAGTCCCATCACGTATAAACGAACCTGAACAGTATTTTGTAAAAGACAAATACTTTGCCTTTACATTACTTTAAAAAGTTATATGCTTAGTTTTTCAAAACGTACATTTCGTGGTACTTCATGGGCTTCCGTGACGGTAACATCATACCATGGGCATGAACTGTTCTTGCTCTGTGATTTAACCCACAAGCGAGCACAAAAAATGGCATAAGAGTCCAACGTCTTTTAAATGAATGCTAGCGAGTTAATAAAAAGCTCACAGAAGGATTTTGGGACACAAAAACAGCACACATAGCACTGCTCAGAGTTTTTATGGAGAATTTAAGTCCTCTCAATTGTGAAAATTGAAGCAAAAAAAAAGAGGTCCTGCCACACCAACAGCCATCAATAAATACGGATGAATAAAATGAGCAAAGTGCGAGTATACAATGGATCTTCCAAATACACAAAACAAACAACTGTTTCTGTAATACATTTATGTGATAGAAACCCTGAGTGAATGCTTGCGTGATGCTATTGAAAACCAACAAAAATAAACCTAGATCTGCCTTGATCTCCCTGGGATATATATTACATCTGCATCTGAAATCCATAAAAACAATAAACTCTTCCTGATTGGCTAAGAGAATAAATGTAATACAACAGTAATATAAAAGTCTTGTGTATAAAAAGGCTTGTTATTTATTTAAAGATTACTCATTTAAGCTAAAAAAAAAAGGTCTTATTTTTTACGTTATTGTGGTGCCATTATTGAGTGTTGTATATGGATATGATGTTTTTACCTCCAAAGGACTCGCAGCATAATAGGTGAAGCCCTCGGTGCTTTGTTTAATGAACCCTGCTTTATCCCTTGGACACTAAAGTGGGGGGGGGAGTTCATAATCTCACCATGTGGTGTCACGATGCGATATGCGTTTTCATGGGCACATTCCCATGATCAGTCTCAGCCAATGAAAATACAGTATTCAATTTGACACATCTTCACCCTTGAAAACTACATGTACATGTATTTCACTATTCAACTTGATACAAAATACATCCTAAAATACGACTATTTCAGTTTCTTATCACCCTCAGATATATTTTGCCTAAACTGACAACACCCCACAAGAAGCTCAGATTACGGTTACTCTGCCTTGGCCGGCTTCTGGACAAATACAGCGTCCCAGTCGGTTCGTAGCCACACCTTCTCGCCGTCCCTTGTGGAGCAATCGCCGCTGGCCAGACTCTCTAACACCGATCTCTGCTGCTCCTCAGCCGCCGTCCCTTGGAAGTCCACCACGTCAGTGAGGAAATCCAGCAGCAGTCTTCTGTCCTCCGAATCTTCCTTGAAGCACGTGGTGATGTCTAGGAGGCTCTTCTGGTGCGACAGAGCGTAGGGAATGCTCTGCCGGTCAAGGGAGCGCAGTATTGCATCGGACATGATGCACTTTGATCGACCGAGAATGGATATAAGACTATCTTGAAAACGGCACAACCCGCTCGTGTCTGAAAAGAGTGTAAAATAATATACACGTATTGTTTGTTACTAGATAGACATACCGACTCTGCTAAGCTGTCGCATATGTGTGGACTCTATGTGAAAACTGACGAGAGGTCTTTGTTTATCTACATGTGTACTGGTGTCATTACACGGCAGTAAATAGGCCCTGAACAGCATACGAGGATGCGCTCACAAAATGTCATGTCATCAAATCCCTCCGCAGATACAAGGGTTTTGTGGTCGATGAACTTGCTTATATCTTTACAATAGGTACAAACACCTTTCTTATCTTTCGCAATATCCACACGGGCTGATCTCACTGGATCCTCTTATTTTGGATGGTTGTGATAGATCCAATCGGATAGAACCCTATAATAGCCTAGGTTGGACGACGACTTCACAACATTGCGACTTTCAGGTTATTCATTCTGCCATACCGAAAAGTTTTAGAACACTTGTTCACACTTTTCCCGACCGAGGTAGCTGAAATTTTGTTCACATGTTCCTAAATGCCTGTAATTACCAATATATGCCAGGTTTTATAGAATAAGTACCGCACGTACACCCTTGGCCAACGTGTTAGCAGAAATGATATCACAACTGGAAGCTTGCCTGCTAAATCCGCCCAAAACTGTTCTGATTGTGCAAAGACACTATATTCCTATTATAATATTCCGTTATTTTGAGCAATCTTTGATACAGCAGGGAACCAGCGTAAGTTGTAAGTCTTAGCAGGAGAAGATTCGTTCGGGATGTTCGCAACAAAAGCGTGAAGTTAAAACACATTTTCTGCAAACAAGTTACCCACAGTCATATTTTACTTATTCTAAACGTAGCAATTGGTTCATTCCAGACTTAAGGAACATGTAAATGAAATTCCAGCCAACTCCATGACCTATAAATGTAAACAAGATTTATACAATATGGCAGGATCCCCGGAGGACGCTTGTCAAGCGCTATGTTAGACTGGTGTGCTCCCTCGGCTATATGAATAGATCACATGAGTTAATGCATGTAAATCATAATATGATCATTACAAAGTTAGTCCTATAGACTGGTTCGGTATCATAAATATTTTTATCTGCATTTAGAAATACCTAATGCGTTACTAAAAATTGAGAAATCCCCGAAACTTTCACCCATCAACTAAGCCGTTTCGCCATTTTGAGTGGGGTTTTTTTTGTGTCCATGTTTACGGATCATTGTCAAATGGCTTGTTTCTACCCCAATTACACTACATAAGATGATGATTTGTGATTTACAATATACGACACGCTGCACACTGAACTGTTGATTAGACTCAAATGGCCGATATTTTCATTGGTTTTTAGAGAGGGTCATTCAGAACAGAAACAGAAACTGGTATCTGAAATTCATTTGCAGCTAAAAATTGTACAACAGAAACTTCTATGCACGGATATGCAAAGGAATTTTTACTTGATATACATCTACCTAGCATTTGCAAATACTAAAAGCGAATACGAGCGACTCACAGTTGTGCGCCTCCAAGAGTTTGCAACGCGTTGGCCAATCGTATCGCACAAAATCTGTCAACCCATTCCAAACAAACACTGGGTGAACAGATTTCGCGCATTGTGATTGGCCAATTACACCACATAAGATGATGATTTGTGATTTACAATATACGACACGCAGCACACTATACTGTGATTAGACTCAGATGGTCGAACAGATTTCGCGCATTGTGATTGGCCAAAGTGTTGCAAACTCTAGGAGGCGCACTACTGTGAATCGCCCGTATTGTTTCGATAATTTGAGTAATTTATTTTTTTAATTGGAGAGTACATTAAACAGGTGTATATGATATATGTACACTGCTAATATGCGCGCCAGTGGCATAACTAGGACTAAATGTCGGGGGGGGGGCACCCGGGGGATGCACACATTTTTCAAGGGGGTACCACAAGAAAATAAGCTTCAGCTGCATAGCTATGTAAACTCAAGAGAGATTATTCACAGACTCATGGGGGCCGGGGTGGCACCCGGGGGCGGGGGACAGGTATCCGCATGTGCCTCGGTAAGTTACACCACTGCAACGTGTTCGCTCTGCGCATAAACTTTTCAGGCTTGGTTGAGAAGTTTACATTTATAGCTCTTTTTAACGGTTTTAAATTACAATTCATTGAATTCAAAAACAGCCTTCAACAATGTCAACCTGTACTATTCCTCCATACACTGAAGGTAGAACATAGTTTCTTTGATTATTAAAAACACATTGCGGAAATTGGATGTCACACGCACCAGAAATGGATTGCAGAAAACAGACAACAATTTCGTTTCTTTGATTATTAAAATACATTTCGGCAATGGGATGTAACACACACCAGAAATGGATTTGGGAAAGCAGACGATACTTTAAAAAATTTCTCTCAAGTTTGGTCAAGAAGATAACATTTATAGAGGGTTTGTATGGCTGCCATCTTGCATGCCAGTGCGTCAGCCATTCACGTCAGCCACTGCTGCTGAAGGCAGAAGCATGGCCAAGATTATCAGTATAGCCAGAAGAAAAGGGGAGGGGAGGAGCTAGCAGGGGTGAGTGATGGGCTAGATGTCATAGTGAATAGGTAACAAATGTCTGTTTTCTTGATCATTTTATCAATATCTCTTTTCTCTTTTTCAACACTCCGGGGGTGGGGGTGGAGAGGAGTTTTTCCTGTGCCACTGATTGAGGGGTTAGCTTGTCACCATCGCCTTAGAGTGTGGCTGCAATGAATTTTTATCAGACCCAATTTTTTTGCATCTCTGTACTTTTTTTCGTTATATGAAAACTCTTTCACACTCCTATTTGGTTGAATGCATTGAAAAGTGCATGCTTTTAAAAACTTAAAATTATCCATGCTTTTCTGGACAACTGGGGGCGCTGTTGCTGTGAAATCCTCTACAGAAGGCATGGTTCAGTGCATGTTTCTGTTCAAATTGTGAACAGAGAATTTACTAACTAAAAACATTTCTGAGAGAGGGATTGATGCTTTCTTATTTCTAATAACATAAACAAGAATGAATCAGCAAAGATGAGAAAACTGCGAACACGAAAATCTATAAACCTGCAAGACTTTTTTGTGTACAAACCATTGTAACATTGAGGCTTCTTCCTGAGATGACATCACAGTTTTACTCATGAATATGAAAAAGTCATCAACATAAAAGCCCAAAAGGAATTAAAGTACCCTTTGACTTAAGGAAACAAATGTTAAAAATAAGATTAACTAAGGCAAAAAGGTGCATTTTGAAGGTCTGTAATCAAAATCAAAAATTGATTGCAGCTGCCCTTTAACAGTGTGCTCGGAAGGGCAGCTTTTTTGAGGAAGCACCATGTTATTTTTGTCGAGCTTTTACAGAATAAATTCATTTGAACAATGTAAAACAAGGGTCAAACACTTGCAAGTGACAGTCTGAGAACCAATTGTACATGCATTAGGGCAACAAGAACCCATGATGCTTTGAAGTGGCATACCCAGGATTATTAGAAGGGGGGGTTTGAAATACAATGGTTTGGGATCCCTGACTAGGGGGAAGTCCGGGGACAAAGTTCCCTGGGAAAAGAAAAACCAAAGGACAACAAATCCTGCAATCTTGTGCATTTTTTCAAGCGCAAAAAGACAAATCCATGGATTTCATTTTGTGGTTGCTTTGTTATTGAAACAATGGCAGATAAGAGAGAACTTGCGAGGGGGTTGCCCCCCATGCTTTGCACGTCTGTAGATGTGACATACTTTCTTTGCAAAAGAGCAAAATTGAGGGCTGTGCTGGGACAAATAAGTCACATGGTCTTTCAACAATTTATTACTCTGCGTCAAGACCTGTTCAAACTTCAGGTGTTTGCAAAAGTGAATCGAAATTGACAACACGAACTGCTTACATCCAAATTGGGTTGACTCGAAAGAGTTTAAACTTCTGTAAATATGCAGCCCGAATATTTGATTTTGTCTTTGCTTTCCTTTCCCTCTAGCATCTTTTACTCTGTTGGATTTCTTGGGCATGTTAGAACATAAACACTGTTACCTGAATTGAGGACCATCAGCATTATGCCACCGGGAGCCAACATGTCGTAGAGGCTCGCCATCCATTTGTCCACACCGTTCACGAAGTAGATGGAGTGAATGGCGCCAATGAAGTGGTACTTGGTTGGACTCCCGGCCTCTTGGTATTGCTGCATTGTCGTCATGTGCCAGTCACAGTGGACACCTTGTAGTTCAGGGGCCATGGATTGAACAAGCGATTTGTACTGGTCCACCATCACGGGGACCGGCTCAACTACACAGTTGTAGATGCGTGGAAACCGCTGTAAAAATCTTTCCAGCATGAGGCAGTCAATTTCACCTTTCGAAAAATAATTTACAAGTACAGATATTATACTCCTGAGATTAAATTAAACTGACCTTCATAACCAGTTGGAATCATATTATATTTTGTTATAACTAAAAGAAAGAAAGTTTTGAAGTATCTAAATGAGGACACCAATCTCATCAAAAGTATCGAAAAATCCTTTGTTTTAATTTACAAGTGTGACATCCAACTGAAAGATGTATCAATATGCCTACTCCATTTGTTTTCTGATTTTGGCCCTGGATTTTGTTTTCTGTTAAAGCCTGAAATTACACCTAGTCGAATCCACCTAGCAGAGAAACAACCAAAATTTATCACACTAAAACAGAGAACTCCAGAAACCACTCACTGTGCATGGTTCAGTTGCCATGCCTGCAGTAGGCTTACATGTATATATGTTGTTGGGCACAATCGGTTAATTCAAGAAGGTGTCAGCATGATTGCTCGACCTTTGCGTGATCAGTCAATTTTCTTGCAATGATTTGTCAATAATTCCACCGTCAGCCAATAACTTTTCCTTTCATTCACAGCAGTGGGAGACTATTTCAAAACAAGGGAAGTAAGCCTAAGGAGTTTGAGTTTTTTACAAGATTGAGCAATCATGCAGAATGACACTGATCATTCCTGACAAAAGAGTCGCGCTGCTTAGCGTCAACAAACATCAACTTGCATCAACAAAGTATCAACAAGTTAACCAAGCATATTTACGCAAAAATGTTGTATTTACGTTATTAATTAGGCCACTTAATACCATATTCAGATATTTGAATGTGGATGTTTGAGCAACAAAGTTGGGCCTGCTCATGAATCTCAACTGGCCACCATCTTGTTTTTATGTGGATGGCAGAGAAAAGAAAGATGGCGGCCCCAATACATTGCAAAAAAGTTTGTTTGCTTGCCAGAATTTGGAAGCAAATTTGCTGTTCTTTTTGCCTTGTTTGCACACTGGCAGATGTTTGAATCTCTGAAATATGATAAACCAAATTCAAATCTTGTGAGGGTATATTTAAGTTGTTGACATTTTGTTGATGCTTCTTGCGTGTGTTGACGCTTGTTGATGCTAAATAGCACGACCGTGACATAAATATGAGTTTGAGTCTAGGCCTAGTGGTAAGTAGTAACACGAGTAGGTACATATGTATGGAATCACCATCTTGAATTATTTTATGCTTCTACTGGTAAATTTTCTTACCAGAACCACTCCCGATTCCAAGGACACGTAGCCCTTCTTGTCCCTCCGGTGTGACCTGAAGTTTATTGACGACTGCATCGCTGAACACAGTGCCTATCCAGTCGGGGATTCCACTGACTTCTGAACACCGGTCACGGAAGGCTTTGAAGGCCCTCGCGTAGTGGTCTGGACTACACTTCAGACTTCGAAGGGACTTGGCTTCCATCTGTAGGTCTAAAAAAGAAATGGCATGAATGGAGGTCAAGGGCATGAGCAATTAATAATTGTCCGAATGTTGTTGGGATTCAAAAAGGACAATGAAGGAACGTTAGTCCTGCGAACGTTACCGGTTACTGCATCACATATAGTGCATGCATGCCTACATGATGTAGGCTTCTGACATGACAAGACTGAACTGAAGGGAGATGAGCGGCATTTCCTACCTTGACGTTTCGCGTAATTAGGAGGGTTCTATTTTTGTCTTAAAGTCTCCCTCCCGTTTTGTCATAAATTCTCGTTTGACTACAAGTACAAAAGTACAAACGAAAGTCGCGTCGCTAGTGC